AATGTAAAGTATATGCAGTAATTTTGCAGAAAACTCACTGGTATTGTCCCTTTTTTGAAAACTGGAAGCTTGGAAACTCAGACTTCAGTAAACAATCTTACCCAGCTTCTTGTTTGTTGCAGCAGAGCGGAGCTTTGCTTCATAGACCTTACAGCATGTAGCTCAGCGCTGACGGACAGATAAAGAGCAGAGAGACAGACGGACTCCAAGCTCTTGGAGGACAGTTTGCCATAAAGCAGCACAAAGTCCTCCATGGTGTGTACCTACCACCCCCCTCCCGTCCCTCAGCTGAAACGGGCTCAGAGTCTTGACACTTCTGAAAAAGAAAAACCCGGCAGAGGGAGACCCTACCGAGAAAAAACAAAAAAACCTCTTGACACATAACTAGGAACGCTACCTCAAAGCATAAGCAAACTCAGCTAGAAGATTGTTTCTTTTATCCTCTTTAATTACAAGCAAACAAGAGCAAGCAGTCAGTCAGACAGCTGGACAGACATGCAGACAGAAACGACAGACAGTCTATGTTACAAAACAGTCACATTTATTTTATTTTATTTTTTTCTTTTTCCACTCTTTGACTTTAATTTATTTTTTTGGTTTTTGAAATTGTACCTCTCCAGCTTAGAGATGGGACTGTAAAAATAAACGAGTAAATAAAAATGTTGAAAAAAAGACAAAAAAACCCAATATGGACACATTGTGGGGCAGGGCGCTGTGGGGCCAGGGCAGCCGGACGAGGATTTTCTTCACGTGTCGGGGGCACCTGATCGGTGTCACCTGTAGCTTTGAGAACAGTTCCTGTTTTGCTGACTAACTGTTCAAAGCTGATGCTAGTCACTAACCTTTCTTTGAATCACAACCTAACACCGCTGTTTTTCTTTTGATTTATTTTTTTTAACTGCTAAAATGACCCACGATCCTCCTTCAGCTCCGCCCTGCTGCTCCACTTCCCCTCCCTGTGATTTCACCTCCTGAATCAAGGGGCACGACACCTGTAACCATGTAATTGTTTTGTTGATCTACCTCTTAGGAAAAAAAAAAATAGGTAAATGGTAAATTTTTTTTCTTTTTTTTTTTTTTTTT